TGTTTCCAGAGGGGTAATACTACCCCCAAATCCCCTGCTTTTCAAGAATTTAGAGGTTAATGTTTTTCAGAATGTATCTACTTGGGAGCCCAGGGTTCTAGCTACCCTAACCTTCCATTATTCCCCACACCCTGGGCTCTGTGAGACCCCACACCTGATCCCTGCAGATGCCGTCCCCAGTGCAGCCCACAGGGTCCCTGCCTCGGGCCCACCTGTTCCCGGTCTCAGCTCTATGGTGCAGTAGCCTTCAATCCACTGATAGCAGGGGAAGTGGGAAACGGTGCCGTCGGGGGCAGTGACGCAGATGCGGCTACAGTACCAGGAGTCTTTGGGGAAGAAAGCATAGCGTCCCTTGTGTACACGCAGCAGCAGGAGCTCACCCAGCTCTGCTGAGCAGCGCACCTTGTACTTCTGCACCTGAGGGGACCAAGAAAGCGAGCTCCTAAGGGGCAGGGAACTGCCAAGACCGTCCTTGCATCTTGCAAGGTGCGCTCATGTTTATTCCAACAAACAAGCCTGAGCTGCTGCTAACCCACAGGCACCTTTCCATGAATCAGGAAAGGGCACGCCTTCCTCCAGGCAGAAGCAGAGCGAACCTGGGATCTCACTAGCTCCTTGGCAACCCGGCACTCTTGCCTACGCCACCAACAAATAATCTTGGGGGCTGGCAATGACAGACACAATCCTTTCCAGAGAAGAGGAAGCCCAGGCCCAGAGAAGGGAAGCCAGAGAAGAAAAGTGGCTTGTTCAAAGCCCACCATCAACACTGGGAGGAGCTGGGAAGCCAGCGAGGTCTCCCAACTGCTTGAGCACTGCTCCATCTCCTTCACAGCCCTCCCTGGAAAGGCAGGGACCAGAATCCGCAAAGTGAGAAATTCAGGGCTGTCATCCTGAGTTCTGCAGGATTTGGTGAATTGAGGGAGAAATGATCCCCGTCCTCCTTCTTGGTTCCCTGCCTCCTGCCCCTGAGGAGTCACTTGCTCCTCACTCCTCTGTCTGTACTCACGGCTCCAGGGGTGAAGTCCCTTCCCATTCGATCCAGCGTTTGCTTGGGGCTCTCGCCACATGTGCCCACCAGTGTGACGGAGATGTTGTCCAGAGTGCCAGCCATCAGGTAGGGGCCAGTGGTCACACACACGCGGTACGTGGCCATGGCGGGAGGGAGGGCGGAAGGCAGCAACCCACCTAGAGGAGGTGAGGATGGGTCTTGTGGAAGCGAAGGTGGGCCAGGCAGGGCCAGGCCGCTGGGCTGCTGGGAGGAGGGCTAGGAACAGAGCAGGCCTGAGGAAAGGCCCAGTGCTCTCGGGGATGCTCTGAGGAGCTCTCTCTCTCCCCAAGCTCTCGGGCCTCTTTCCTCGCTCCTTACTGGCCTCTCATCTCCGTCTCCCCGCCCACAATCTTGCTCCCTGATACTAGTTTGAGTGTTTGTGGCACAGCCAGTCCCTCTAACTGGCAGGACAGGGCCCGCCCAGATGGATATCAGAAGCCTGGGTCCCACTGGGGAGGGAGGAATCAGATGCCAAGACTGAAACAGGTGACGCCTAGAACATTGACTCCGCCTAATCTTGGCCGACTGTTGCGCTTGGGCCCCTGTTCGCCCACTCCCCAACTTCCCCCAGAGCCTTTTCCCTCGCTCCCAGCCAGAACTGAGCACAGGGCACTCGCATTCCTATAAGTGAATCACCCTGTGACTCACTATACAGGTGAGCCGCACTCGGCCATTAATCACAGGTATGTAACTTCAACTACACTCATCCCCGCACACGGCAGGGGGTCGCGAACAGCCCTCCTGCCACCTTCAGCCGACACTCTGTCACTCCCAGCCTAGTTCCACACCCCCTGCCTTTGGCACGGCCGACCATTATTCCCCCAGTGTAAGGCTGGTGGGGAGACCGAACTGCGACAGGGCGCTCGGTGTCTGGAGGCCCCAAGGGAACATTCTCCCCGGTCCAGGACCGCCCTCGGCCTGTGGGACCGTAGGCGGGATGTCGGGAATGCCAGGAATCTGGGTTACCGGGGCTGGGAAGGAGTTCTGCCGACGAAGCGGACAGACAGCAGCGGCGCCGCGCGGCCAGTCCCAGTACCGCAGTGTACTAGCCTCCGCTACGTTCCAGGCGCAGAGTTCGGATGTCTGCCTAAGTATCTACGGTAGAGAGGACGAAAAAGCAAAGTCTACAGCAACCGACCTCTCTTGGCTTCCTCTTGGTCTGGCAAGAAGCCTCTGTGCACATGCATACATAATTATTTCTCGGTACTGCTAAAGCTTTCATAGAAAGCAATCTCTTATAAGAAACAAAGCAGAGCTCTAGGCAAGGGCCCGGATAGCTCAGTCGGTAGAGCATCAGACTTTTAATCTGAGGGTCCAGGGTTCAAGTCCCTGTTCGGGCGACTCATCTTTTTCTCCCCAGAAATCAGTTTGCCTTTTGGTACAGTTAACATTATATTCTTTGTAATAAAACAATGGAAAAGAAAAGCAAAAATATTATTACTGGACTTTAAGATTGAATGGCATTAACTACAGCAGAAGTTTAGTTTTAAAAAGGTGGAAAAAATTCACAGTGAAGGGAAAATTTTAGAGTAGTACATTTACGATTTAAAGTTTTCCAGTATAGCTGATATTGTGAGACTGGCGCAGGACAGGACAATGTTTCGTCCTGTTGTACGAAGTGTCGCTAAGAGTCGAAGCTGACTCGAAAGCACTAACAACAAATAGTCACGTTACAAAGAGTGAAAAGAAATCGAGAAATTAATTTTAATAATGTATTTTATTTAATCCAAGATATCCCAAATGCTATTATTATTCAACATGTAATCAATGTTTAAAAAATTATTGGGAATATTTTACAGCTTTCTTTCATACCAAGTGTCCTAATCGCAGTACATAAGTAAAGTGCACTGCCACTATATCTCCACTCCTATTTCATGTGCTCAATTTAAAAAAAAAAAAAAAACTAAACTCACTGCCATCGAGTCGAAGTCTCAATAACCACGAACAAGTAGTTTATTTCCTGTAGAATGATACACGCAGAAAAGGAAGTTCCATAATGTATATTACCGCTGAAGACTCGTGCTCGAGGCGGGTTCCATGGTGTAATGGTTAGCACTCTGGACTCTGAATCCAGCGATCCGAGTTCAAATCTCGGTGGAACCTTACAGTTTTTGCTAAGAAGGCACTTAATATTTGTTTCCCTCACACATAAGATACTCTTTCGACCTGAGAGGAATTTAGAAAATAGGATTCCACTCACTCTTTAAAGCTCTGGTAGCCTAGTGCCTAAGGTACTTGATTGCCAACTAGCAACCTAGCGGTTCAAACCCAACCGTCACTCCTCGGAAGAACGGTTGGGTAATCTATCTTCAGCAGAGTTACTACCTCGGAAACCCAAGGAGGAAATCACTACGAGTTGGGGTCCGACTCAACGAGTCGTAACAACGTTCTTTTGAGCTTTTCAAATTGGGTAACTGGAGATCCTAGTACACTGTCAGGACAACATACTGGAAATCATTTACCTATATGAGATCTTGCGCTAATTTTGAAAGATAGAAATCACGTGGGGTTCGGTATGAAGTACAAGTTAGCAAGCCAATTTCCCGCCTTGGAACAGACATGCAGATCTAGGGTCTATCTTGTAGACCAGAGAAGGTAGACGGTGGTGAAATCGCTACCAGAGGGGCCATTCATAAAATGAGAACGTTCGTTGAAACTACTATGAGTAAAGGGTGGAGACACTGGAGAAAAACACTGGCCTGGCAGCGGTGGGATTCGAACCCACGCCTCCGAAGAGACTGGAGCCTAAATCCAGCGCCTTAGACCGCTCGGCCACGCTACCTGCGTGAAAGCGTAGTATTCCCGTTGTCCTCCTAAGAGACTAGCGGAGAGCGGTGGGGCGAAAATACACAATGTTGAACATTTTCCTTTTCCGCATTTTTCAAACCTGGAATAGGAAAACTTCGAGATTCCTGACCTTGGAGAAGCAGACGGCAGAGTATATAAACCGAAAGAAAAAAAACACAAAAAATATATACAAAAAGACCAGTTTATTTTGACGGGTGAAGCCACATCTGAGAATGCGGATGCGTCTAGGCTGGCGCACACCCCAATCGGCATCTGGAGCTCGGTACTAGCTCACTCACACTAAGTTGCTCTTTCTATATCTCTTCTATCCATACTCGCCCACATTCCCACCTGGTTCACTTGCTTTGCGCCGGCTACCTCTCCATTGCTGCGTCTACACCACGCCTTCCCCTGCCAGGTCCAAACCAGTCGCTCCTCGTCCGCCCCGCCCTACACCCACCCCCCACATTCCGCCCTGCCCTTTTCCTATTTTAGTACTCCTAAGGCGCAAAGCAACACCCTTTGCCAAGTGGCTCTGTGGCGCAATGGATAGCGCATTGGACTTCTAGTGACACAAAGAGCAATTCAAAGGTTGTGGGTTCGAATCCCACCAGAGTCGATTTTATTTTACTTTTGTTCTTTTCCTTCTTCAGCTGGTTTTCCCTGAAAAATTCTCTCTCCTCCCCCATCCTATGTCAGCGTTTTGCTTTGAGGTGCAAACACAGTCTCCGCTCTGCTCTCTTTACTTACCTGTCTGCCCCGAGCCTTGGGCCACGAAGAGCGGGACTGGGGATGGGGGACAGAGAGGGAGGGAAAGTGGGCGTTGACGCCAAGATAAAGGCAGGCCCCTGGCTCGGGGACACACCGGGATTTAATAACCACTTTATTCCATGCACTAGGGACTAGGGAAGGGGCTGGGACCGGGCCGGGGTCAGAGAGGGTACAATCCTAGACGGAAGGGGGGGGACAGGGACAAGGGACAAGACCAGGGAAATATATATTTATATAGATACTCTAATATAGACCACAATCTCACCCGCGCGCTGTGCCCGCGCGCCCCTCTGCCCTCCCCAGCACCTCCTCGCCCGGACGCCCGGGTCCCTCTGCTGCCCTCGGGCTGGAGTCTCTATCTCACCCCAGCCCCCGCCCCTACTCCCCCCAAAGCTCAGGGCCAAGGTCTCCAGAAAGCGGGCGGCGGGAGCGGCGGGGCCTTGGGCGCCCCGTCTTGTCTGTAAGGCGGCGGTGGCGGCGGCAGCAGTCCGGTGAGGGGCGCCGGCGCGCCGGGATCCGCGGCGCGGGGGGAACAGCGGGACGGGGACCAGGCGCAGCGCGGACTAGGGGGGCCCTGGTGCACTGGGGGGCGCTGTTGCAGCGCGGGGCCAGGAGCCGGGGCAGCGGGGTCCAGCGGGGGGCGCTGTGCCCTCGGATCGACCGGCTCCGGCCGGGGCGGCTTGGGGCGCAGGTAGCCGTGCAGCGCGGAGAAGAGCTGGGCGCGGGCGGCCGGGCTGGCGTCGTGCGCGAAGGCAGCCAGGCGTAGCAGGCACTCGCGGAAGCCGGACAAGTAGCAGCTGGCGAGCGCCTCGGCGTCCTGGGCTGGGGACCGAGGGAGCCCTGGAGCCGCGGCGGCGGGGGGCGGCGGGCAGGAGGACCGGCAGGCAAGGCGGGGGGGCCCAGCAAGGGGGAAGGAGGGGATGGGGCGCAGAGATACCAAAGCCGGACAGGCGCGCAGAGACAGGCAGGCAGGTGGACAGACAGAGCGGGAGGATGCGGGAGACACAGAAACAGACACGCGCGGGTTATTATTAACCTGCCGCTCCGCAAGCCCCGGGTCCCCCGCAGGGCCCGCCCCC